GATCCCCGCTCCCACTGTCTCCAAGGCCAGCACCCACAGCCTCTACCCCCCCCCCCCCCCCCCCCCAGGTCGTGAGCCAAAAGTGGGTCGCGACCACATGTTCAGTGGGCCACCACATGCCTTCCACCTTTCTAGTTTCTAATTTCCAGTTCTCATAAGGTAGGGAGATTGGGTGGATCTTAGATAAAATAAAAACATTTTGTTGGAGTGTGTATGTGGTTGTGTGTATCTGTCAGCATTTTTAAGGGCCCGTTCCCTCTAGTACAGTGCGTTCATCGAACAGTCCTGTGCCATTAACACACTGTACCACTCAATCGCACCTACTGCGCTCTGGTGCAGGGGGTGTGTTGCCATTCATCCCCACCTCCTGCTCACAGTTCAATCGCCCACACTGGAACATGCAGTACTGCAATGCTGTGCATTCCATTGCAGTGCGACTTGGGTCACGACAAAACTGCTTTACTCTGGTCCCCCAGATCTAAACGAGCAGTTAACCCTTGCAGTATGGGGGTAGTCCCACTATAAGGGGAGTGTTTTTGTTTACCCGGAGATAGGCTTTAAAATACAACACTGTGTTCCAAAAACAGGAGGTATTCATATCTCATCAAATGTCCAAAACCAAAGTATTGAGGCTAGAGTCATACTATGGTCCAATAAACATTCCACATATCAATGTGTTTTGTACACTGTGTTTCTCTGCTTTGCTGACCTTTTAGTGCATGTTTTGCTTGTGCTAAAGCAGAATTAATCCCTGCAGTCTACTGCCAGAAAAGTCCTAACGCCATTTCCCAAACTTCACCAAGTCCTTGGTAAAGACTCTTTATACATCTTTATGATGTGCCTACTGTGCTAGAGTCGTCTATTCTCACCAATTGCTTTGAGAGACTGATGTGAACAGCTGTCATTTTGCATGTAACTGGGCATGCTGGTAATACCTGCAGACAATCGCCACTAGATGTATACAGTTTGTATGCGATTTCACGGAGCGAATTTTGAGGCTCACCCAGTTGGCCCCATTCACAAATGCGAATGGGATCTTATTCCTGGCTAAGCTTGACAGCCCAACCCCGGAGAGCACAAGAAATGGCCAGGGTGATATGGCACATCATCAAGGCAGAATCATTTGAAGGACATATAAAGCACCCTGCTGGCCCCTTCCATAGTCCACAATCTGCCATTGCATAGAGAAGCACTGAGACCCAATGATGACATCCCTGGGTCGGAAATAAGGTGTTAAGGTGCCCATAGACCTACGAATATCGGCCGATTTTCGTTTACTATTGCGTTTTCATCCGATATTCGTAAGGTTGATGGGCAGTGTACAACCGCAGATACTGTACAATCGTACGACTTTTGACTTTGGAGCAGGTTAGAAAACGTCTGTCGAATCGTATGATTTTTGCAAGGTGTTGGCGTTACCGTATGTCAAAAATCGTAAGATTTAACACTGCTCATGCGCAAACGGAAATCCGTGCCGTCAATGAACGAAATTCGTCCAGGTGATTTCTGCTAAAGACCGCTAATTGCACTGTGCGATGGTCGGGGCAGGATGGGGCCGCCGTTCGAAAAATTGTACGACGGTTCGATCATCGGACGAAAATGATTGCAAGGTGTATGGGCACCTTTTTAGAGGGGTGGGGGGAACCATGGAAGTGTAAGCTGATTTAAACCTCCGCTTTAAGCTTATTATCGATCCACCTTCCTTTCATCCAACATATGAAATCAAGTAGAACAAGCACCTGTGGGGAGGCTAAATTATAATTTTACATTGAAAATATTCAAATAGAAAGGGGGACGGTCTGCAGATATGAGTGTTGCCATAACTGACTGATCAGGTCCTGTATGTGTGGGAAATTGTTCTGAAAACATTTTTAGAAAACTGTATAGAGCATGCCCTCGGTATTTTGCCGGGTGACTAAGTATCTGGTATCTGACATGAGAGAGGAATGCAGCATTTCCAACAGAGGCAGCTTTTGAGATAATTCACTGAGGATAGCATAGTTGTGGACAGATAGTTAAAGCTGCAAAATGCATTCAAAATATGTCTTCATTTTCCTGGAATAACTTCTCTGTTTTCCCAAAAATTATTTTATTTTTGTGTGTGGCTATGACTAGAAGTCACTGTGAATGGACCCAAAATCTAATGCATTTTTTTTAGCCTGTCCCCCGTCCTCCATTCTCGTCTAGGACAGATTGACATGCTCAGTTCCTGGTTCCTCTTGGGATATGCATGTCATAAATCCCAGGAGGCATCAGCTTCCATACGGAAGATGCAGGAGTAGGGTGGGCCTAGCAGTGTGCCATCGGGGATAGCTGCCTAAACCTGGAAGAGACAGCCGCTTCCCCCACAACGGAGGTGGCAGTGCAGGACAGCAGAACATGGATCACAGCAGGACAACGCTGGATTCCTGGAGGGAAGGGTGGGTAAATTAAATGTGTGAAATGGGGGAAGGAGTAGGGGAAGTTCCTCTTTAAATGGTAGTACAAAATGGGCAATTCCTAGATTTTAAAGGAAAAGTAACGATTTACATGTAAATTCAGCTGCTTATTTCCCTCGTCCACTCATCTTTTTGACATGTGGTTTTCATTGTAAGCAAGCCCTACTTACCTGGTTGATCCTTCTGTCTCCTCATACAGTTGGGCACAGGGATGTCTGCTGGGTGTGGGGAGGATCTGCAGATATGATTGTTGCCTATAACGGACTAACCAGCACCTGTATTTGGTGGCAGATTTCTCTGGAAAACATCTTCTGAAAACTATATGGACCTGAAATCAAGAAAAACGTAGCGTGGTATTATCTGAAATATTGCAAGTGAAAGCATCAACACGTCCTTGTGTTACATAATGAAAAACACCCTCACACCCATTGTATTCACTTGCCAGTACGTCAAAGAAATTTGCCAGGGGCAACAATGACTTATAGCACCCATACCATGGTAGAATCAGTTTAATGAAATACTGCATATCTATATGACGGAGCATTCATGAAATGCTCTCTATTTAAAGTGACCCTAAACTCAGGCGTTAAATCTTAAAAATGTATTCAGATACCCTAACTATTAACAAAAATGTATCTTATTTGTGTATCACTCGGCTGTAGATCCTCAAATCATCTCTGAATTGGTGCTGACACTGTCCTTCCTTCTGGAGGGTGGCTACTTTTGTTCCCCATGGTCCCTGTGTGTGTGTTTGTAAAGTAGCCACCATTCCAAGCTCACCTCCTGTGATGGACTACAGTCTCACATTTAGAACACAACCCCCCCCCAGTTCCTACTGATTTGGATAAAATTAGAGCCATGGGTGGCACTGCAGTTACCACCTAACTTAACATTGGCTGAGCCAGGTGGAAGGTTCTCGGCCAAACAGTGACTGGATCCTATCTGATGCAGTCACTGTTTGGGTATTCAGGCAGCCATGTGTAAGGTCTTAGATGGCATGTTAATGTCATAGTCATTACTGGTGTGCCCAAAGGATTATGGAGATATCCAAGCCTACAATGATGGTATTGTGTGGTCACGATAATAGTGGCAGTCAATATGTTGATGTTGTAATATGTATGACATATTGTCATAGTGTAGAAATATCTAAGTCAGCATTGGAGGACATGGGAAGTATTGTTTAAGGTTTGTGATTTTGTGACATGACCCAATGTCTCCCATTTTATCGCCAAATACTTTTAGACACCCCTATATACACTAGGAAGGGAAGTCCTCAATGTCAAAAGATTCATCTACCAGCAACCTGAAGGATGGCAATAGCAGCACACATGTTTTTCTCATGACAGGTGCATAAAAAAAGCACAGCGGAGATGCATGTAACCAAATCTTTACGGTCATCTTTCCCATCTGCTGATCCAATATCCATGTTACATATGCTGGCAGGGAAGGTGTTTATCACACAAAGGCAGAGTTTCTATGTGTCAGGGGACAGAGTTGAGACTCCTTAGAGATGTAATTCTAGTTTCAGAGTAGGGGAGTTTTCAGACTCCAAGGAAACCTCCCAGTATAGGAACAATGGAGCTGCCATTGCAGACTTCTTGTTGAAGGTCCATGCACTCTGTCATCCTCATTGTTTTTTCCTTGCAGTCTATATGAAGTAAAGATAGTGGCCTCCTCACTTTTCAATGTAGAGCTATCACAATGTCTGATGTGTTGTATATAAGGTGATATAAAAAACAAAGAGGGCTCCACTACATCATAAGGGGTATAGTCTGTCTCCAAAAGGATGCTCTATACCGGGACCATTTTTTCTTCTGGCAGGTTCTAGGCGAGCTGATTGGGGATCTGCATCTGCTATATCAATAATTGCAGATATAAAGCATTCTTTTAGACACAAGTAACTGCCCCCTCTGCCCCGGTCCATGCCCCCTCTCATGGACCGAGAGCCCAACCGTGTCAGGAGAGAGGAAGGGACCCGGGGGCATACCTGATCCCGCCGGGTGAACGTCCCCTCCTCTTTCTGCCGGCGTCCATCACTAAGATGGCCTCCTGCACGCGTCAATTAGATGACCGAGCATGCGCGATGATGTCACAGCGGGGTTTCACCTAGTCTCTGCTGCGGGTGACACCCGGCCTCGGGACACCCCTGCTCCTGGGGGAGTCCATTCCACGTTTTCACAGCTCGGACTGTGACTTGTTACCTCCAGCACAACACAACCAAGCAAGAATGGATTGATTGACGAAATAATGTACTCCCATGATCCAGTACAAGTCTGCCATGCTATGCTGGCAATCACAGTAGGGAAGTGGGTGGGCACAAACCCCAAATGTTTTGGAATGCCAGATTCTGGACTGCATATTATTTGTGTCCTACTGCATAAAAAAGAGATCGGTATGAATTGGTTATAGAATTTTTGTATTTTTCATAATTAAAAAAACAAAACTGTCACTTAGACCGACGGTCTTCGTTCTAATTAAATGCTTCTGCAAATCTTATCATTTGTATGGTTAGAATTACAATAGTATGAAATAAAGCTTTTTTTTTTTTTTTTTTCTTTTCTGGAAGGTTTTTGCCAAGATGTGGGCAGGGTGCCTCTTGCTGCTTCAGGTTTTTACAGCCACAACGGGGTATATTCTGGAACCAAATAAACTTCCTAAACCTGGGAAAGAAGGTAAGGAATTTTTACATTGATTATAACACTGATATTGTCATATATGCTTGACGTCAGGAAGCTTCTGACGCAGTAGACACATTTTATACGTCTGCCAACTATATGTACTTATTTGCGATGTTTTATGTATTTTTGTTCTACACTGTTGCTTCTATCACTTATTTTGTACAATGTTATGGAGATGATCGTGCTATATAAAGTATTAATGATAAGCTAGGCCACACTTAAAAGTTCACCCTTTATTTCCTTAGTTACGAATCATTTGATTAAAATACTTAAATGATTCTGCATGCATTTTCATTAGATTTGATGTGAAAATTTGAATGTTCTCTACAATGCATGAATATTTTCCCATCTTTTATTGCTTTTAAAGGTCCAGCAAGTACAGAAAAATACTTGTTTATCTGCCACAATTGCGCTCAACTCCTAAGTCTTGTTGTGGGCTGAATTCACACAGCATTTTTGTGGTGTGTTGCCAGCCCTGCCCCGTTCTCTATTAGTAAACTACTTAAAGGAGAACTATGAGGCGAGTGAAAATCACTCAGCCTCATAGTTCTAGCCGACCTGTGACAATGGAACTGTCACAGGTCGGCTCAATAGATTGGGAAGTGAGCGAACACATAGCGTCGCTCGCTCACTTCTTGATCTATCACTGCAGACAGCCGTGACTGTCACTTACGGCTCCCTGCAGGGATTCCCCCCCTCCCTGTCCGATCCTCCAGAGCTGACTGGCGGAACGGACACGGGAGGGGGGGGGTACAGCTGGCTCTCCCTCTAGATAGGCAGAGCCAGCTGTCAATCACGCAGCTGGGTGGATCTCGACAGTAATGTCGGGATCCGTCCCGGCTGCGGCGTCTCAGTATACCACGAGCTGTAGCTCGCAGTATACTGCGCTTTGGGTGACGGGTCTAGCGTCCTCCCATTACCCTTAGGAGAACTATGGGGAAAAGCCCTGTTCACCCATAGGTCGCCTTTTAAACTCTCCTTTACCCTATTCTCTACAAAGTACATGCTAATTATTCTGTAGCCCAAGATAAAGACTAGGAAGGCTAATATGACTCTTTGAGATAACACAGGAAGTGAGCATAGGACAGCAATGAGTGTCTGGCAGGATCAACAGACATTTTTTTTGCACTTATTGAACAAATATAACAACCACATTACAATGGTCTATTTAACATACCAAAAAGCAGGAAAAGGGAGAAGTTCATTATTGGGGTTTACATATACAATAAAGTGAACTCTGTGATATATGGAAAAAAAATACCCTTGCAGGGGTCCCTCTCCTCCCATGCACTGCAAGGGTTAAATGCTCATTAAGTATAGGAGTAGAGAATTAACTTATAATCCGTTCTTTCGTCATTCCTACGGTACCAATTCTCTTCTCTCTGGCACTTCGGAATGGGGGCAGGCCCTCGCCGTCCTCTCATACAATGCAGGACCAGCAGTCCTGCATTGTATGTGATGATGTCAGAAAGCTTGTGACTGGAGGAGCAGTGAGAGGAAGCTTCTTTAGGAAACAGTGGTGAGTTGCCAGAGTACAGAGCTGGGTAAAGGTGCCCATACACTCTTCGATTTTTGTTCGGAAATCAAACACGAACGTGGTTTCGAACGATAACCGATCAGTTGATGGGAACCCAACGATTTTAATTCCTGTACTCCTGGATGAATTTCCTCGATCGGTCAGGCGAATCAAACGAAAATCGGTGGATCAGTGGTGTTTTTTGTATGAAAAAAATTGCAGCAAGAACACTGCACATGCACAAACATAAATCTGTTCTGTCAATCGACAAAAGTTGGTGAGTTAGTATTGCTAACGAATCATTATCGAAATTAACATTGGTCTGTGCTTGATGGGCTATTTGAGCTAGAAGCGAATGAGGGTTCTTGGCAGCAACGACAATTTCCAATCGAAAATCTATAGGTGTATGGCCAGCTTTAGTATTGCAGCTTATTCCCCTACCCCTAGACTGGACTTATAGAGCATTTAAAGGGGCCTCCCAGCATTGCAAGGGTAATTCTTTTTGCTATTGTCCAGAGTGGGGCTTTAAAAGTATTTATAGGGACCTCTGAGTTCCTGAATGTTGAGCAGTAAGTGGCTCAGTGTTTGAGAAAATTAAAGGTTTAATGTAGACCAAGTGCCGTCATAATAATTCGGTCTCCTTCCTGATTTTGGATCTTCGACCATCTTAATTGGAATGTCGGGGTGCACATGGGAGTTAAATTATTTCAGCACCAAGGTGTGCCAAGGATGTACACATGGTGCACATGTGTAGCTCACTCTACAATGTAAAGAAGGCAGGTAAGTTTGTATTACTGAAGAAGAGACATATCATGCCTCATCTTTAAAGGCGTAAAGGTAAAACTGTACCGGGTTTTGATCCGTCCTAGTGTACACTATAAAGCTAATCTTCACTTCTTCTTTCCTTGCAGTTTTCCTGAGCAATGAAGATGCAAGCGAGTTCTTTGGCCGTAAACTGCTCTATAACAGCTGGGACTTTGAGATGGTTACACCGGGTAATCTAGAGAGAGAGTGCTACGAGGAGGTGTGCAACTACGAAGAGGCCCGGGAGTGCTTTGAGGATGACCAAAAAACTGTAAGTGTGTGATGAGTTGTCAGCAATGTCTGATTGTTCATAGGGGTATTTAAAAAAGGGAAAAAAATTTAATTAAATAATCCAATAATCAAATGTAAAAAAATATTAATTTCCAGTGCTCAAAGATTTTATCTCTTCACTCGGGGTATTAAGGCTTGCGGGTTTCACTGCAGCATAAATGATCCCTCTATTGGCTACAGATGAAATTTGTAGGCAAACCCAACTGTATTACTGCACTGGTGAAGCGATGGAAAACTGTTAAATGGATATATCTGTAAACAAATAAGTCAAGGCAACTGGACTTGCTGTATTTTTCTTGAAGACGTTTCACTGGTCATCCACCCAGCTTTCTCAATTCAGAATGACTTGTACAAAAATTCTCTAGCAATAAATATGGTGAATGTTGTTCCAATCGACATAATCTGTTAGTCGCAACCAGGTGTTGATTGCTTTTGCATAACTGGAGCTAGGTGCTGCCAGAGACAGGTTTTAAAACAGCATTGTATGTGGCAGACAGTAGATGCCTCACCCTCCCACCTCTATTCAAGCTTGGCTTCTCCATTTTTACATAAATGGCCTCTTTCACACCTCTTTTGAACCAGTCCTCCTCCCTGTCTAGGATGCGTACTTGACTGTCTTCAAAGGAGTGACCTTTTTCCTTTTTAGGTGTAGGTATACTGCCGAATCCTGACCAGAGGGTTTGGCTCTTCTATGCTGTGCCATACGCTGGTGTAGCTGCTGTTTTTTTGTTTCACCGACATACAATTCTGAGCACTCCTCACTTCACTGGACTGCATACACAATGTTGTTCATCTTGTGCTTTGACATTGGGTCTTTTGGGTGAACCAGTTGTTGCCCCAGTGTATTGCTGGGTTTAAAGCTGACAGGGATGTGATGTTTTTTAAAAACCCTTCTGAGTTTCTCAGACACCCCAGCTACATATGGGATGACCAAATTCTTCTGTTTGTCATGCTTTTTCACCCTCACTGGTACTCTTGGCATTCTTTCCTCTTCTTTCTGTTTTGAGAAAATCCATTTGTTAAATGGATAGTATTGTGTATTTTACGTGACTGCATATTCTAAGTTATTGTGGTGTTTACTTGTGCACTGTGAGAAGAAGCAGTAAAGTAAAACCGTTGTGTACTGTTGTGACAGGTGGCAGAACCCATATATGTAATAAGCAAATCTAAGTCAGACTAAATAGGGAAATTAGGTTTTTAATACATTAATGACTCATTCACACTATCAGGGTGTAGTAACATGCAAAGTGTATTGCACTTTAGCATAAGGTGTTACCCACACAGTGTGGTGTGTTCCAGTGCTATTAATTTTGTATGCCATCACAAGGCACTTGTGTTGTAGGACAACACAGATATAAATAATATGTGCATTGCAGTGCATAAATATTAAAATTACATAAATATTGTGTCTTGTTTTTTTTTTTTTTTGTGCTGTGGTGTTGTTTGCCATAATGTTCTAGTATGCACAGAATATTAACACATTATGGACGACTTGCTGAAAACGACCCTCTCCAGCACTGTGCTATCTACTCTCCCCTTCCTTGCTGGTGCTGTCATCTTCTCCCAGTCTTCATCAGGGTTCGGTGTCATCGGCCTGATGTAACTCATGTGAATGCACCCAGGAGTTACTTCATCTCAGCAAGCCGGGTCTGAGCTCTGCATGCACGGCTCAATGCAAAGAAAAAACAAATTGCTGACATGTAGGAGGTAGGTAGGAGATTTTTGTCAAAAGTAACTTACACAGTCAACAATTTTTTTCCGCTTCTGCTTTAAGACAAGGTCAGAATGATTGGGCGGTCTTAATGCAGTGAGCCTTAATTTAGGGTAATGCATTGTGTTAATCCATGTGTGTGAACACGATGCATAGTGTGAATGGGCCCTGAACATGTATTAATAATATTACACCAGGCTGATATCTTTTACATGCATGTCTAATACATTAACACTTCCTTTAAAGTAGTATTAAATACTCAATCTATTCTTCAGTAATGAATTCGGATCAAGCAATATACAGTACATTGCCCTGCAAAGTATTTCATTACATTTTTGCCCAAACACTTACAGCCATCATGTTTCCAAACAGCTCCAACTCTCTCTGCTCAGCTTCCCTGTTTTGTGGTGACGCACACAGCTTACTAGCGCACACAAGGGAGGCTCCATAGGGCCCTGCAAGAGAATGGAGCAACCCTAAAATAGGATATCAGGGCCAGTGTTGAGGAAACCAGCTGAATCTGCAGCAAATTACAACTTTTAAACATCAAGTTGTAGCACCCATTGTACGTGATTTCATCAGCATTTAAAATAGCTTTAAATAATTTTGACTTTAAAGGAGAACTATGGGGTCAGGGCTTTTCCCCATAGTTCTCTTTAGGGTAACGGGAGAACACAAACTAGCGTCCTCCCGTTACCCTAAGCTCAGTATACTGCGAGCTACAGCTCGCAGTATACTGAGACGCCGGAGCGGATCCCGACATCGATGTCGAGATTCACCCAGTTGCGTGAGTGACAGCTGGCTCTGCCTATCTAGAGGCAGAGCCAGCTGTACCCGCCCCCTCCCCCATCCGTTCCGCCAGTCAGCGCTAGCAGATCGGAGGGGGGAATCCAGCCCCTCCCCTGTCACGGCAGAGAGCCGTGACAGGATCGAGAGGTGAACGAACGCCGGTATATGTTCGCTCACCTCCCGATCTATTGAGCCGACCTGTGACAGTCTCATTGTCACAGGTCGGCTAGAACTATGAGGTGAGTGAAAAGCACTCACCTCATAGTTCTCCTTTTTAAAATCAATTTAAAATTTATGTACAAAGAGTGTCAAGCCCAGCGTGCGTATTGTGACTGTTGTCAAACAGATATGGCAGATATGAAGTGTTGCAGTTAACACTTCCTTTCCCCTGAAGGAGGGAATGAACAACCCTATTGCACATTGATTTTAAAACAAGTTGGAAAATCCTTGTTTTTTGATGAGGAGCACTTCAACCAATAAAGGATCCCAGGGGAAATCCTACATACAAAATATAACACAAGCGCCAGCAACATGTATCAGGGATGAAAGGAAAGGAGGCAATCTTCAATAGTCAATGTAATACACTTTTGAGGCTGCTCTCGCTGATTTAGGGAAACCTCAAAGCATCCCTAGTTAAAACCCATCAGTTTATTATTTGCCGTCTGTTTTTTCTGATTTGCGTTTCCATCCAGTCCTAGAGAAGCAACAAGCAGTGATAGAAATTCTCAAAGTGATGCTTTGCCCTTTTAGACAACTGTTCCCAGAACAGGTGTCCCCGTTTTGGAAATGTTCCCTGTTTTTTGTAACAGTTGTAAATGTAGTATCTCCTATCACTTTAATCCTCTGTGGCAATGGGTCATCAAGACAAATAGAGAGGGTGAATCACCCCAGTGGAAACATACACTGCCTGGCCAAAACAAAAAAAAAGTCACACTCTATTTCATTGGACCACCTTTTAGCTCTGATTATGGCACACATTCACCGTGGCATTGTTTCAATAAGCTTATGCAATGTCACAACATTTTATTTCCATCCAGAGTTGCATTCATTTTTCACCAGGATCTTGTAGTGATGATGGGAGAGTTGGACAACTGCATAAAGTCTTCTCCAGCACATCCCAAAGATTCTCAATGGGGTTAAAGTCCATTGATGGAAAAACCTGGTCATTCAGTATATTTAGTTAGACAGCTGACCTAATTTTTTGAGGACATAATGTTGCTGAACCTAGACCTTTTATCCAATGGAAAGTTCTAACCTATTTGCTCAGCTAAATCCAGTTGGAGATATTTTTTTTTTTTTTTTTTTAGCAAAAGACAAAGAACAAAAAAGGAGTGCCACAACCTAGTGCAATGAAACCTGATAGGCAAAGGTACATGTGAATCAATGTAAATATTGCACTTGCATATAGGACAAAGTCCCCGTTCACACCAGGAGACGTTTGTAGCGCGTATTTGTCAGCACGGAAAAGCTCTGCACAAGTAATCCTATATATTTCTATAGTCCCCTTTCACGTCTCGGCATATTGTCGCGCTGAGAAAAAAGCTGGTTGCTGGAAAAAAGTACATAAGCTTCTTTTTTGGTCAGATCAGTGCGATTAGCAATACGGAAAAAAAATGAACCAGCAACAAAGTGGTAACAATGTTTCTTGCTGAGTGGATACAAAACGACAACATGTGTCGGTGTGGGAACAGTAACTGGCGATTTGGAGCGTATCTGGCAAAGAAGGGGAGAAAGTGGGCAAAGCGCTCATGGTGGATCTTATGGACATTAAGAGAAACCTGCCTCTTAAGCACTCACCCCGTGGAGGGATAAGGAGCAGTGTGCCAGGCAGGAGTTGGTATAGTGTTGTTCTTGACTTCTCTCACAGTGTCACAGACCAGGTCTGTTGTGAGGCTTTGGTAGGACTCTGTGCTGTAGTAGAAGGGGTTCCTGCGGGGTGCAGCGGCAGTGTTCTTCTGTCTGTCAGCGGCTGACTGAATGGAACAGTGGCCAGTGTGTGCAGTGTCGTATGTGGATGAGGCTGACTTGTGGACCGTCCTATGATGGAATGGTTTATCAAGGATGCAGAAGGGTATGGGAGTAGTCCTCTAATACAATGAAATAAGATGACAGTAGTGGAGGGGTACAGGCAATGCGTTTCAAAGTCGGTCTTCTTTCAAGCCAATGTAAGAGTGACGTCCTCGAATCGCATTTAGGGCTACAATTAATGATTATTTTAATCGATTAGTTGGCCGATTTTTTTTTTTTTCTTTTCGATTAATCGGTTAAAGAAAAAAAATGAAATACCATCCTTAATTTAAAATGAAATACACAAATGGAGTGTTATAAACAAAGTTTACTTCATAATAAAACGGTATGCACATTTTTTTGCATTGCAGTACCCTGCGTCCAGTGCGGGTGATCACACTGCGGGCGGGAGGCACATTTTGGGGTGCCAAAACATCCTGCAGCAGAATTTGTCAAGCTGAAACCAAAAATTACTTTTCCCACTTTTTTTTTTTTTTTAAGAATTGTATGTATTATATTAAACATTTAAATTAGTCTCATGGATTTCAAATAATATGAATTTTAAAACTCCAATATAATAAAATAACCAAACTTCTATGTAAAATTAGATTGTTTAGAGTTAGCCATGAATATTGGCTGGTGATACCTGGCATGTGTAGCGCAATCGTCGTTTCATACATAGGTGAACCCAACTTGTGTTTCCGTTAGTATGCGTGCGTTTATTTAACCTTTTTATTTTTTACAACATCCTTGCTAGCATGATTTTATTGTTCAGTTGTTTCAGCCCTAAACGCATTGCACCCCACAGGAACCCTTTCTACTACAGTACAGACTCCTACCAGAGCCGCTCAGCACTCCAGCTGTACTGAGACTACAAATGCCATGAGGCAATGCATGAGACTGAGAGCCACAGCCCTTATTCTGGCTTGATGGGATTTTGTAGTTTCAGCACAGCTGGAGTGCTGAGGTTGCCGACCCCTGAGATAGACTAATGCTGTCTTTCTGCTTGTTCTAGGACTATTATCCTTATTGTTTATTCAGTTATTAACCTTCACTGATCTAAAACAAGCAGACAAGTATCAGAATGCACAATATTCATATGAATAGAGAAGGAGGCATGAGGATGACTAGCCCAGTCCTTGCCCCTTCAAACACAAGTCATCAGCAACGACAGCTCTCATTTTCCCTGTGCTGACCAATTTTCTTTTAACTGCAAAGACCCTTAACTAAAAGGTCTACCAGAGATTTCCAAAGCTGGGTACATCAGAAAAATTGCAGGAAAAAAAAAGAAACCTCTAATATTTCTATACTTGCAGGAGGGCTTTCTTACTGACAATCCATATAATTAGATAACATTGAAATAGAAATGGTAAGAATAAGAAATATTAAATGTAAAAAATATTTGTCCCAGATTTTAGAACAGTACAGTACAATATATGGTCCTATTTTTTATAAAATACTCCTAAATGTGAAAATGTATCAAACATTTGCCTTGATCAGCTAAGGACATAGGTTCATACTATAGCTCGCAGCAAGAAAATAATTTCACATTTTACTGAAATTTTTAAATATTTTAAAGCATCCGTTTTTCACTTTTGTTACACAATGTATGCTAATAGACCTAAAATCCCACATTCACATTTTTCCCAATACAGCTGAACACTGCCTAAATAAATATTAACCTTCACAGTTCCATGTACTGACAAGTGTAAAATCATGCTGTGTACAGTTATATGGGGAATCATGGAAAATTATTTGAAATGTGATTTCTGTCTTGTACAAATGCCTCTGCCCACTAACTGAAGGTCAGGTGGAAAAAATCCTGAAACCTTGTGAAAAAGCCTTTTATGTTCACTCATTCTAGTCACATTAAAGATGGAGATGTGAAGATTCGGTGATTGACGGGTCTGGCAGTCAGGTTGCCATGGAGACATGAGGGCTGACTGAGCAGTGCTGGCCATGCTTTGCTGACACTCTGCCAGATGGCTTTCTTACTATCGAAACCTTTCTGACAGTATCTGAAAGGGGGATGGGAAAGGCATTGGGGCAGTTTCATTAAATTTGATGGTGGGTATCGTGCATTGCATGATAGCGCAATCAATATTCACGTAGTATATACATATGGGCTTTTCTTTTTTTTTCTTTTAATTCCCAGTTTTGCCCCACATGAAATGCTATATTTCTCTATTTTTTTCATTACATTTGATTTTTTTTTTCTGCTTTCTTGTATGTGAATAAAAATATGTGTGTGTGTAAAATCATTACCGTATGTGGTATAAATTATATTTATATATATATAAATGGGCATCTTGAAATTTTGCTGCTACAGTGAAGGTCATGCTTGTATCTCAGTTTCATCCTATAAAAGTTGGTAATTCATGTCCATGCATTGGTGTTAATGCCACAAGACTACAATATTTGAATAATGTAGCACCATTATTTTATCAGAATAGTTAAGGGAATAAAATCCTGAAGGTAAAGGAGTCTTTGAAAGGCTAATTCCAAGCCAAAGCTATTATTATACATTTGTGTGCATATACTGTATATACATAAGCAATTTGACACACTGTCTAGATTTTTATAGCTGTTAAATATCCCGGCAGTGGGATCTCTGCACCTGATTTTCCAGTATTGTTCCCTTGCTGCAGCACTAGAGGAGGTTTGGTAGGGAAGGAAGTGCAAAGCTAAGAACTCTTTCAGTCCTTGACACTATACCATCAAGAAATGAGGGTAATTCAGATCATGAACTGGAAGCTGTGAGACATATTTTACCCTTCATGCAAAAAACAGAGACTGCCATTGGGTATCATTCTTTAAGAAATTGCTGGCTGCCAACTTTATATTTTAGGAAGGTGGTCAGCAGTGACAACCTCCATATTTGGTTTCTCTTATGATAGATTTACTTCAAGGTGTCTTGCAACCTTAACTATTGGATATTGGTTTATGAATTGTGTTGCCCTTAGCCTAAACACTGGTGTTCGCTTTTCAGTTCAGAGCATGACCTCCAAAGAACACATGAAATTTGCTGGCGCTTGCACTTCTGTATGCTCCAGCATTCGAAATATATGATATATGTATAATATTTTTTTACTGAACTCTGTATCCCTTCCTCTTATAGAAAGACTTTTGGAACAAGTATGAGCACAATGGACATGGAGGCAACAGTGGTAAGTGATCATATTTCAAGGCTTATCAAAGTGGGAGACTGAGGAAAAATGTGTTACACAAGTAGAAGATCTTTCTGAGTAACTGTTCCTACCTTATCTGTAAAAAATAAGTCAAGGGAACTGGACTTGCTGTATTTTTCTTGAAGATATTTCACTGGTCATCCAACCAGCTTTCTCAATTCCGAATGTCTTTAAGAAAAATACAGCAAGCCCATTTGCCTTGACTTATTTTTACAGATATACCACGACTTGGATGAATGAGAACCTTCACAGACATATATTGTACCTACCTTCTTATACTTTACCCTCCCCAGTCTGCCAATGCACCCCCCAAAAACAGAAATTCCTTTGAAAATTATCACTTTCACAGGGTTTCCAAACTGTACAGGACTATACACATTGCTCTCCACATCACAACCTCAGAGCCTGGCAATTTGGCATTCAGGCAC